AGTCAAACACTTCACCTGTACACTGATCAGTGACATTAGCTGTGAACTTAAGATAATCACAATTACACCAACTATTCAGCTGGTAATAACATCCGCCTTGTGGGCAGCATTGTAATAATAAATTAATAAATCTAATGTTTAAAACCAGAGCGGGACAGTCATCATAGTTAGATCTAACACTCCATTTAGGAGCAGTGATCCTAACCTGCTCATTCCTCATGCTAATAATACTAACATTGTTACTTATTAGTTGCAGCTCTAGTACAGTAGCTGTGTAAGTACCAGCTAAAAGGTATATGACTATACCTGACTCATTGCCTTCTCTTCCTCTTGGTACAGCAGTAGATCTAGCTGATGCTCCTTGTATAGCTAGATCAAGAGTAGCACAAGGTGTTTGAACTCCTCCAGTCCAACAAGAGGTATTGTTGATACCATCAGATGAACTGACATAGATATCAGCAGCAGCAGACAAAAGAGGAGAAAGAAACAGCAGGAAAATTGCAACAGAGAACATGATGATAGACAGATCAGAGATAGCATAGATAGATAGCTACTATTAGCTAGGGGTGTAAATGACGCCCACAGGATTTTCTGTATAGTGGGCGTTATGGCATGTAGAAAGAGTCTGTGGCATGAATAATTTTTCAACAAGACTCATGTAGAAAAAAGCTAGTACAAAATTAACCAAAAAATTATAAACTTGAGTTAGTACTAACAGTTTTATTATTATTGATGCTACCATAATTAGCAGTAACAGTATTGTCTTGAGAATGTTCTACTGATAAATCATCCAGTCTAACACGAACATACAATCAGCAATCCAATCTTTCACTAATTGCTGATTTTCTTGTCCTTACCACTAGAGGATTGTTCATCTTAGTCAACTGATTTGGATTTAAAGTTGACGTAATTTTTCTTATTTTATAATTTATCTTTGTCATTTCTTGTGGTACTAATTAGGTTTTATTTTGGTCTCAACATGTTTCTTTCATATTAGTTGGTATTATTGTCATTACATCAATAAGAGGTCTACTAATCACTCTCACTAAAGTACAGCTATTATTATGTCATATACTCTTTAATGAGACCTTTTTGTAGTTTTTCTATGCCATTGCAAGCAGCAAGTCTTCAAATGCTATTGTCTTATGTCTAGCAGAAGTTATGGTATGTTAGTACATACAGTAGCATTGATACATACCTTGATTATATCATTGTTATAGGGTATGTATTTTGTGTCATCAGTCCTTCTAATGAGAATGAATGTCCCAGAAGAGTATAGGTAACTGTGTTAATGACAATTGAGGCTCTACCTTTATCTATTCTTTATTCTGAAAGGACTATCATCACAAGAGTTTTGGGGCAGCTTGATTTTAGTTTTTATCATCGTTGGTTTGATGTTATATTTTTAGTGAGTTTAATAGTTTAATGCTGTTATTTTTGCATTAGGTCAGTGCTTTAACTAGTATTGTATTTCTTTATATTGCTCACCAGCAGTCATCAAGTAAAAGAACAGGATAGCACATACATTACTAATGATTTCTTAATTATTATTTTAATTTCTCAATTCTGTCAGTGTCACGGTTCACTAATTGCTGCCTGAAAAAATTTTTCAACAAAATCAAAATAATAGTGGCTACAAAATTACTCATAAATAAGCACAAAAGTTAAAGTTGGCACAAAATTACTAAAAATGATTACTTAAAAGTTATACAGTTTTATTATTATTGATGCTACCATAATTCGCAGCAACAGTATTGTCTTGAGGATATTCTACTGGTAAATCATCCATTCTACCAGGAACATGTCGTTCATCATATTCTTGTGGATTCTCCATACGATCAGCAATCCAATCTTTATCGTTACCAACTAATGGCTGATATTCTTGTTCTTGTATTCTGTTGGTGTGATTGTGTAACTTGTGGTACTTATAACAATTCATCATCATCTTGTACAATTGAGCTATCATATAAATTAGCAGTATAGAAAATAATAAACCATTGAAAGATACAATCACTCTACCACTTTCTATGATATAATGAACTTCAACATTAGCTTTCAGTGGATTTATAGTGGCACAAAAACCAAAAAAAGCAATTACAAAAATCAGAAGCATCACTTCAAAAAAATTGTGAATGTTTCTTTGAAAAGGACGGAATATGAAAATTATCATCACCAGGAATAAAACTAAAGAGCCTTGAGTAATTGCTATATATTGGTATAATATTTTGAGATAATCAAAATTCGTTACATACTGGTATGTAAATTGAAGCAAAAATACAAGTAGCCTCAACAATAAATGGAAACCAGCAAAAAAACGATAATCATACGTGCCATTAGTTCCATTCTTATAAGGGCTAGTAAACACATCACCCAGTGATATCAGTAGCTGTTTCCTCAAATGTAAGCAATCCAATAACTTATGAAACCATTTGAATGAATAAAGAAGCATATAAAGTGTTGGTAAAACTATCAGAAACAATAAAAATAAGATAGCAAAAACACTAGCCAATACATGACTAGCCCCAAAATAAGGCTGTTTTGCATCATAAAAGAAGAATAATAACAAAGATTTATTGCCAAAAGATTGATTATCAGAATACTGAAATTGAAAACGTAGTATTTTGAAGGAAGTGGCAGCTATTTGAGTGAAGCAGAGTATATATATTGATGCTATAGAGTGAGTAAAAGATGGTTCAATGCCAGTCATACTCCAGAAACGAGCCATGCAACGATGAAATGGTCTAGTAACCAATACCACACACTTATAACCTTTATCATACAATGTTATCCAAACATAGAGTAAGAGGAGGAGGAACAATGGATAGAATCCTACCACATACCAAAAGGAGATTGCTCCTAATGGTGACATATGAGGAGCAATGCATAATGAATAGTCACCAAGAAATGGTGTAAAGTCTAAATTGAAGACATTGGAAGGTGAGGCATAGAGATACTGTATCTGATAGTTAGCATCCGTGCTATAATAAAAAATATAATCTGAATAAGCCACAAAAACTATCTGAAAATAGAAAACTAATCCATTAATTGATCCATTAGTCAATTGTATATTAAATGCTACTATTATTAATACAATGAGTGTCATAGGCAGTATTTCTATTCCAATGAAAACTAGTATACTTGATAAGTAATGATGGCAGCTAACACATTGTT